TATATAAGAGAAATATAAAATACAAAAATTTCCTTACTCAAATAAGCTGGATAGTGTTTCGATGTGTAAAAATTGTAAGAATTGTCTGTCATCTCGTCCGTAAAGAATGAGAAGGCATTTGTGTCGAAAGGCACATAGATTGTTTCGTCCGCTTTTTCCTCCAATTGCGATAATTGTGTATTCTTCAGATCCAATGAACAAATGACATTGTTCGATATCTTATGACAATGATGACCATTTTCAATGATCTTAAACGCTTGTTCATCGAGGTTGTCAATAGTACTCCTTATCGCATACGAATCCAATCTGGTATTCTCGTAAAAAATATATGCCTCGTGACGCAAATTACGACAATCTCGAAGACCCTGAATGTCGAAGGCATACTTGCCGATCGTCTGTTCGGCCATTAGAATGCAATCGAGTCTTTCGCCTGAAAAGAAATTTTAATTCTGTAATTTATACGCTACACAGTTGTTTGCGTTTTATTTCATGTACGATTGATATAAAATTGATGTTTTCTTAATAAACGTTTCATTGAATTCGTAATCAATTACAATTTATTTTATCGAAACACAATGAATCTTAAATATGATCCTGAATAACAAAGGAGCAATATTAATGACGATAATAACATTAACGCTATAATTTTTATTGAACAAAAGTGTACAAATTTCAACAAATATAATAAAATTTTTATAAAATATATATCTAGAGAGAGAGAGAGATAATTGCGAAATTTTTTGAGAAGAAGAACGCTTAATTGCATTGATATACATATTGAATTTGTTTAAATTGCGCTAGAAGAAGAAGAGAGACGGTCGTACATATATATATATATATATTATTTTTTGAGTTGTAAATTATTTAGTTCCATTAAATTATTGTATCCGACTTAATTTTATTTTTGATTTTTTTGTATGTACTATCGTAACCCGATAATATTAAGTATTATAAATTATTATTCTAAATTGTCGAAATGAGTTGTGATAAACCAGAAAACAGCTCATGATTAAGTTCTTAAGAAACCTGATTAAGCGTTCGGATGATTAGCGGGGAAGTGCCGAGTCAGTATAATATTGCAAGATAAAAAACAAGAAATAGAGAGCACGGTACGTGACATCAGTCAGAGTCATGCATCCCTTTTCTTAAACTAAAGAATATATAAAGTAAATATAGCAACAGTATCAGTCGGAAAATCAATCTATAATGGAGCACGTTTGAAAACTTTAAGGTATACAAGTGAGCCAAAACTTTTTGTATTATCTTTACTAAAATATATTTTGTGAAAAAGCACAAGGTGTCTTATATCTGGTGGATAAGTTTCAATCCTCAGAGCGGAGAATCCTTTAAAAGCTCTACCGTATTAGACATGGGCATAACAGTACATTCACATTCAAATATCTACAACTTTCTCGCTATTAATCTTTGACGGACTTTAACCAATAACTGCTACATGAGCACATTTATTTTTGTTTGTTTCACGCAAACATTTCAAGACTAATTTGAACATGTTGGGCAGTTCACTGAGATTTAGTGTTTTAAATCATGAAACGGCGATACAGATATTATTAGAGGGGATATACACACGTTTAACTTGCTAGTATAATAATTCACTTCGGTATTTAGATGTAAGATCGATAAAAGTGTTTATCGGAATAAAATTATATTATAGACTAATCGCTGTAATCACCGCTATCATATCCTCGACTCGATTATTGTGGACACTTAAATCTTACTGCTAGGGACGAATAACTATATTTATTGATCTATATCAGGTTATCGACGTTTAATATTTGTTTATAAAAAGTTATAGCAGTTGCATTATACACAATATTTCATCATGACGGTGATTACGAATAAAAAATATCCCATATCGATTCGCATTCACAACTCATTCACATCACCAGGACTTTTCTCAAAAATCGAAAAAATTATTTTAAATTGTTCTGCATTCTTCTTGCAGTACCATTGCGTTAAAAATAAAATTTAAGTTGATTCAAGTTAATCAATGAACAATGCGAGCAAGCCAGATATTTAATTGTAAACAAAAACAAATACATTAACGTATTATTTAATACTAGTTTTTTTATAAACTTTACACATTTTATTTATAAAGTCGAATGAGAAGAATGGAGATTGTGTATATATGTTATATATGCTTAACTTAGAAGGTTGCTTAGTTTCGAAGAACAATCAATCTGTTTAATATCGACATATTCTCACTCAAATTCTTACAAAAAATTGCCATTATAAGGTCTTGATCATTGATTCAGTCTTTAGAATCATCTGCTTTCGGTTAATAACAAGATAGTCGGCGGCGGTACGATTATCAAGATCAAAGGCATTCGCATTAGTTTCTACGTCATACGCGATAAACACATTTGATTTTTCTATGTAAATTTAAGATAAGCGTAATGCTTTAAATAATTTAAATTATATCTCTCGCTGTCTTTTTCTCTTTCTTTCTATTTAAAAATTACAGCTCGTGAAAGCGCGAAATACGTGGGATACGTGAAAGCGGAAATGGGGGGATACACGGATAATTATTTCGCCGCGGCACACTCTACTCATCCTAACATACGATCGATCGGTCTTTCGTATCGAGTAATTTTTCATTCGCTTGACGAATCGTCTTTCTTTTACCACCGAAGCCTACTCAGGCAAGAGCAAGTCTTGCTCGTTGCAAAGATAATATGATGTCGATAGCGATGTTGATAGCGCTAACGCTATGACAATGACTTGTCGCGTGATGTCTTCCGTGTTGATGGTTTCCATCACCACAACCGGCTTATTAGCGACGCGTTTGCGCGTAAACCCCGATCTCTGCCTCGAAGAGAATCTGATTGATCCTAAGTTTGGCAACCGATCTTGAGTACGAGTCGGGAATTTCAGCGAGCTGCACGGCAATACTCTCACCGAACTTGGCGAACTCCTCCTTCGTCTTTCTCCGTCCTTTCTCATCCGTTTCGCCGGCTTCAAGTTTCATCCGTTCGACCTCGTTGAGATCGACCGGCGAACTGTCTTGGCTCGGCAAGGAGCAACTATATAATTCCATTGCCTTTAGACTGGACGACGAGGATTCCTCGGCGTCCTCGCTTAGCGAAGCATTGAAGGAACCGGTACCGGAGCCGTTTGTCTCTTCATTGCAGTCCATGAACGTTATGCTTTCTGGATCGATGTCGCTCACAATGTATTCTTCTTGTAGCTTTGATCCCTCCTCGACTTTCTGCGAAAAGGGCATCAGGCTGGATCAAGAATTTTATCGCGCTCTGACAATAGCGACGGAAAGAATTTACTTTCTTTACTTCACAATCTCTTGTCATTATTTTTAGCTACAATTATGGATTACAAACGTTTAGAATTCGCTCAATTAATGTCGCGTTCGCACGATTCGAATTTAATCTTACGCGTTAATCTCCAAAGACCGCTGTTGAAACTTTCACGCGTATTTATTTTTCCTCGTATAAAACATGGGAAATGCATTGCTATTACGATAATTGCTATAGTGCAGGAAACATTTATAAAAATCGTAATTGTCTTCTTGAGAAGAAATACAATGACTTTGAAATATCAAATAGAAAGAAATTATATGGAATCCATCATCTTCGTGTTGTCGATGTTGGCGCATAAAAATGTTGCGCGTTATTATTATTGTTCTTCCGTGCACATGCGACGAAATTAAACACAGCTAAACCGGAATTATCACAGAATGGATCGAGTCGGATATAAACAAAAATCGACTCAAACTTCCGCTGGGAAGCGGACGATGATAATAATAATAATATGTCGCTACGCGTCGCCACACGAGTCAATGAAGCATTTATCTCGATCAGCGACGCATCGTGCTATTTTTTTTAGGGCGAATTGTATTATATCTTGTGTTATATCTTATTAGTTGAATGAAAAATCTTACACGCCAAAAATCGCCGAATCGTACACGATGTTTGTAAAAATCAAAACCAAAGATTACACTTAAAGAATGAGATTTGAATTAACTAGCGATTAATTAAGAAAAGATAGCGAATTATTTGCTGCGGAAAAAAATTAATACCTCTTTATTGAAAAATTTCCAAACAAACACGCGCAACTCTCAGGATGATATATAATTATTATATGCGTACATTCTCTCTCTCTTTCTCTCTTTTAAATAGAATGTAGATGAATATATATAATGATTTTTGAACTCGTATAATTTTACACGAAAAGAACCAAAGAAAATGACTTTCTATAACAATATCGACTGTTTCATCCGTCATCAAAATTGCCGGTAAAATCTTAAAAGATCATTTGCGGGCGAATCGTGAACGATATTCTTCTCTTCCGCCTACCTTCTTCCGCTTGCTGTATCTACGCGTGCCAAATTGTAGAAATTGCATAGCTTTGAAGGCGAACCACTTGGAGACATATAGGTCGTCCGGGCCGGTGGCGGTATCGCGGCTGTTCTGAATTTTGTGCACCTCTCGGGAATACTGGCACTTGAGATTGGTGATCTTTTTTTCAACTTCGAGGGTGTTGCAGCAGAGAATCTCGGCGAGCTCTTGGATAGCTCGCTTGCGCTTCGCGCGGTCCCGGTAGCCCCGGGCGTTCCAATCCCAGAGGACACGCCGTTGTTGATACTCGCGGAGCAGCTCGAGGGTCTTGTCGCGCGTCCACTCCATGCCGACGCGCGTCCCGCTAGATGCGCCTACGTCTTCCCAAAGTGTCCCGTGACTGTACATGTAAGATACAAATGCAGCTGCGTTCTGGGCGCGCGAAAACACGCGCGCGATGAGCGAAGGGGCGACCTGAGTCGTGCGAGGGTCGTCAACGGGCCGTTGTCTACTGTCCGCTAATAAATTGCGGGGCAGAATCAACACGACGAAAGCCGCAGCCGCGAAACGAGCGCGCGTTTTAATGATTTTTGCGCGGGGCTCACGCGCGCTTGGCCACCTTGCTTTCTTTATTTCTCTTTACGGAAACCCTGGCGAGAGCACGAAGACGGCCGAGTCTGCGCGAATGTCGTCCGTTCCTATTCCCTGGTCGCGATTCACCGTCCACATCGCTCTTATACAAGCGTTGTGTTATGAGAGAAAGAGAAAGAGAGAGAGAGTGTGTGAGAAAGGGGCAGAGGGGGAGAAAATCTCCCTCTCCCGCTATTACCAATGCCACTGATGCCCCCCATACCGCTCTCTTCTCGTCGACCCTCTAGGATCTTTCTTTGTTTGCTCCGTTAAATCTTAAAGTATGAAAACATCGATGCTTTAGAGTCATGTTAAAAGTTAAATAATTCATCAAGCATCTTCGAATTATTGCGAATATGTTTTATCTCATTCTTTATAATATTATGTATTCATCCTTGGTCATAAATGAAGAATAATAAAAACTTACGCGTTGTTTACATTATGGTAAAAATATTTGAAATCTATTTTTTTCTATGATCATCGCGATTATGATTATCTTTTTCGGCGCAGCCGGTTATATGAAATACGCGACTGCATTTAGGGAGTACGTGCGAGACATTGATCGGAATCAGCAACGCGTATATGTACATATAGAGTGTCCCAGACCTACCGCACCATCTGCTAATAGCAAATTCTTGAGATCATTTGGAGATGATTTTTCCTCATTATTTTTTTGCAAATTTCCAATTTTTTCCATCATATATCTTTGTAACTAAGCCTTAAATTATAATTCTCTCTCTCTCTCTCTCTCTATTAAAGTAAACTTTATCTGAAATTAACTAAAGAATGTAGTTTTAACTCTCTATAAAGTTTAGCTTGCAAAAAGCCCTTCTTCTTGAATCGCTTATACAAAAATTAATTGATGCCTCGATATTTTTGCTGAGGAATAATCATCTCCAAATGATCTCAAGAATCTGCTCTTAGCAGGTGGTGCGGTAGGTCTGGGACACCCTGTATACAAACACACATGAAGGTGTGTACACTCGACTCCGAATTAACTTATTTTTCCCCGCATCCCTTTCTTTTTCTCGTATATACATGATGCTTCATTTCTCGCGTTAATTATATCAGTGTATCGTATATATACCGTGCTCGTAAAGTCTACGCAATTTTTACGCGTTATAATCGATAAGGTTTGACGGCGATTATATACTTATTGATTTGTAGAGTGCATGATTTTTGTCGCACGATGTGTTATCTCCTAGTTTATTTATTTATATTGTATAATAGTACGCTCTAATTCATTATAGAATAGACGTGATATTTTATATTTTGAAATCTCTAGCGCAAAAATTTATTTAGCACGTGCGATAAATACAATATACGTGCATTAACCCGTTAGCTGGGTTTGCTAATTATGAACATTATAATAATTTTATAAATAATTTTATAAATAATTTTATAAATTAAATAAGTTGAGAGATAAAAAATTTAATCGCTCGAATATATTATTGGCGTATTTATTTATATATACATTGATGTAATGAAACAATTATACCTACATATAGAATCATAAAACAGATTTACCATATAGGTATATTTGGGGTACACAACTAAAATTTATTAAATTCAAGCGCGATGCAGTTTTGCATTACAATTAATAAAGAGACGGGGACCGATTTTTGTGTCGATTTAAAACCGTATTATGGAGAGCGCTTGGATATGATATCGGAAAAACGATAGGATGTGAAACTTACCTGGGAATAAAACGACATGCGTGCCCGTCATCGATTGTACAGGATTGCCATCAGCAGCCAATATTCGGAGCGAGTGTCCGTAGGCAGATAGTAAAATGGGACAGTTGTGAGCATTGGCATTAATAAGACGTAATAAATAGGAAAAGCCATGCTTTACTCGCACAAATACTTGTCGTGCCTGTAAAAATTTCAAAAATACATCCCGAGATGTAAATTATTTTCCATCGTTTCGCATTTTTACTTTATGATCTAAACTATTACATCGAGCGCAGACAACGCATATATGCTGTTTATAATTATTTTTATAATATTCCGACACAGCCGAATTGGTATTCAAGCGAGCGAATTTTTTTTTTTTATTTATAATAATGATAATGGCGAAGAGAATATATATACCTGACCGTTTACGAGGAGCTCATCCGGTGTAGGTGGATATAGGAGTGTTTGTCGCGTCAGCGGAGTTGATGACCTTGATGACAGTACAAGTATCCTTTCTAGACTGGCGTTGTCACGTGGTCCTCGAACTGTCAACGACCCGTACACTCCGTCTCCTTGCTGTGAGACTAATGATCCCCTCCCCCGCCCCCCATTCCGTCAATTTTATTTTTCTCACTGACTGACTCTTTCGAACTAGACCGCGCTGTAGAATTCTATGTGAGTCTCAAAGCGCGGCGTTCTTCGGATTTAAGCGGGGAATCATGAAGGCTCTTTTGCGAAGGAAGGAAATATCACGGAGATTAGACTGGACCACTCGCCATATCGCGTCGATTGAATCCGGTAGCTCCACTGTTTTTGTTCTGCCGAATAGAACGATTCTTCCCCCATCTCGGAGTCACGATACTTCAGCGCGATATAATTAATATATTTAAGAAGAATACGGTTGTATATGGAAATCGTACGCGACTTTTATTTGTAATAAAGAAACAGTGTGACAAGAGAAACGCCCGGTTCTTGCTCTTTCGAGTCCACGGATGTTATTGATCTTGTTATTCTTGATGCAAGCGCCGGATAGAACGACGTTCTACGGCGTAGACCGGAGTCAAAATTGGGCGAATCGATTTAAGTTCGAAATTACAGCTAGAGTTTGCGCAGAATTTCCCTTTCAATTTGTTCTTTTGTTAATACGAAACTCGCGTAATGATTTCATGTCCCTATGTCCAAAAGATGTCCAGAGGATAGCATTCGCATTCACAGATAAAAGTTCAAAACGTTACAACGCGTATATCAATATATATTTACGCAAGAGAAATTATTACGAAAAATTACATATATATAATAAAATATTATGCATTCACGTACCTGAGTGAGCGTGGTAGAAATATGTTCCTGCGCTTTCGGGATTTATCTTATAACGAAAACCATTGTAGGGTAAGATAGGGCATTGTGTTATCATAGGCACACCGTCCATATAATTAAAATCTTTTTGCCGGATTCCATGCCAATGGAAAGTCAACTCGTCGCTTTTTAATTTGTTGTAAACAAGAACCTCTATTGTGTCGCCGAGACAAATCTATTATGCAGATATAATATATATATATATATATATATATATATGCCATTGAAAGAAATTCTCTTTCACAAAAGTTAATACACACTTTTTCTTTTTGCCGACACTATAATATATAACTGATATTCATCACCTCAATATCGATTGTGTAAAAGAACGATGTATAATAATTATGATATAATAATTAATAATATTTAAAGAGAATATACACTACACACATAAATATTAAAAACTAGACATAAAAACTTTTTATCGTGATATTTGTAGAAAAAAAATATGTAGTGCAAAAGAAAATCGTACTCATATTTACTTGTATAGCTGGTCCCGGACTTCTTCCGTTAATTGTCAAAAAGCTCTTTGACGCGATAATATTTGTACATGTGGAGATCTCGTCCTTGTCTTCGATTTTGTTACAGGAACTACTATAATAATATATTATATTAAAAATATATATAGTTATATTATTAGTTATATTATTAGTTATAGTTATATATAGTTATATTATTAGTTATATATATATATGGTTTGTGTTTTGTCTTATAATTATTTAACAATCGAATATACTCAGATAATTTAAATTTAATATTTTCAATTATATATATTTGAACTTTATATAATGAAAAAATCGAAGCAAAAATGGATTTGATTGAAAGAAAATGTTAAGCTCGATAATCGAATCAAAGTAATTATATGAAGAAAACCACGAAATTGCTGGCATTAAAAAGCGCATATCGTAAAGATTCATACAAAGTATACAACACCATATTATATATATATATATGAACCTATAGTATAATTTATGTATGTATATGTACGTATCAAAGTGTGATAGTGCATCTGCGTATATGTGTGCATATGGTTATCGGAACCTGTTGTACATCAAAGTATAGAATGCATTCAACGACCGTGAATATTAACCGTTAGAATGCTGCATTCCAATTCGAATAAAGTGGAGAAATATTTACTATTATTGCGAAACACGTTTCGAAAAAATTCACATCAGAAAACTATCGAATCTTTTGATTCAATTCAAAGCTTCCCGAGTGCTCCGCTTTCTCGATTTCGTTTTATATTTGCACACTTTTGTTTTTTTTATAACACTGCGTTATTTTTACGTTACTAAACATTTTCTAGTTTATAAATGTTCTTTCTACTTGCGTATACATATTATATATAAAGTATTAGTATTATTAAATATTTGTTAACTTAAAAATAAGATAAAATAAATAAATTGTATTATTTCGTAATGCTATCTCACCTTATTGCGCCGTGCGATTCTGTGACGAAGAACCGATAAACGCATGTTTTTCTTGAAGATATTTCGCCGGAACAAGGACGCGCACATTCATGATAATCATCTGATTTTTGAAAATTAGAAAATCGTTTAGTCATTAAAATATTTTTATTAAATAAAAATAAAAATTTCATTGATCGATATTTTATTAATGATCATCAAATTAACTTTATTGAATTAAGCGCACCATCTCACATTTAGGAATACAATAACATAAAACGGTAAACCTTTTTCAATATTTTTCCAAAATCACAGCTAATTAATATTTGCTATTATAAAAGATTTCACTCACCGAATGTCCCAGAACACAAAACCGAAATCGGACAAGAAACTAATATCAAAACCATCGAATAGCGAAGACACGACATGATGGCCCAGAATATCTGGGTTGTACCATAGCACGTATACGTACATACAGTTTGAACGATCCTGCACGGATCTAAGTCGACTACTGACCGACCGATCGATTCAGGAAGTGAACGTTTTGCGAACAGCTCGCTGCTTAGAGATTGTAAGAGTGGGTGAAAGAAAGGCTTAAGCTATGCTAAAGTGTTACACCTCGAGAAAAGACTATCTGTTTTTCTTTTTATCATAAAGATACACATTTGTTGTATAATGTTCACATAATGTTCACTTCAAATGCAGTTTTATTATTTATTACTATATATAATTGAAGAAGCATTATTATATAGTACAACAAAAGGATGAGAAAAAGAAATGGTTTCTTCTTTTTCAGAAAAGAAACAAGCGATTAAAGACTAACAAAAAAAAGACACATTCGTATTTACATATATAACCATACATAGATTTGAATAAACCATTTTTAAATAATATTTTTATAGTTTATCAATATGATTTTTATTTACATATAGCTATATAAATATAGTTTAGTTTCTTATTCGAAAAAATATTAATGTTGTCTGTACATTGTTTATGTGTTTAAAAGAAGATTGGTTTTGTAACATTGTAAACTGCATAATGGTACTCCAGTTTTTGAACATGAATATCTTTTTGGATTTTCACATTGATTTACGCCGCAAAGAATTTGTTCCGGCGGAATTTTTCTGAAATAAAATTAACAAAAGAATATACACAACTGTTGTTATTTACCTTAAATATTATTAAAAAACTGTTATAATTTTATTATACTTACTCTTTGGTGGGACAAAGTGGAAAATCTTCACCAGGTGGCAGAGATATAGAACTTCCTTCAATCGTTAAACGATATGTCACTAGTGGTACTTGTTGCTTAGATAATCTTCCCTTGCTGATAACTTTGGATGCTTTAGATTCCTGTTTCTTAAGTAACCTTTCCATCGTCTTTTTCTACAAAAATCATTTAAAAATATTTATTCAAAATTAAAAAACTTCATTGGTTTAATCGGAAAGCTTTGTTTTAAACAGTACTTTATCTTTCTCTCGTTTTTCATCAGCAAGTTGTTTTCGCTTCAGAGATTTCAAAGCAGCTTTCTGTATAGCTTCTGCAGTCATGACTTTTTCCTTGTAACCAGTAGGTAATGACATAAGTTGTTCCACACCTGAATTTGGCTCAGTATCAGTTTTTCTCTCAAACATTGCTCTCTGTCGAGCTGTCATGAGTTTAGGATCCTTTGGTTTAATTTTTTTTAATTCATCATCAACCTGAAATAAAATATATGTTTTTATTATTTCTTATTATAGTTATTAATTTGTATTATCAAAATGTATATAAATAGAAATAGAATATATTTAAGAAAATACAATACATACCTCTTCAAGTTTACCAGACTCAATAGCATCAAGCCATCTTTCTTCTTCGCTGCTGGTTCCACTATCTTTACCTTTGTTGCTTTTCGGAATTTTCTTCTTTGTAGTTGCTTTTGGGAAAGATGTAGTATTCATTGCAGATACACTTATACTACATGTTTTCAATATTTTTTCACGTTTATCCAAACTGAAAAATATATCATAGATTGTACATATGTAAAATGTTCAAGTATTCTTGAAATTTTTTTTAGTTGGATATTATATATTATTCTAAACAATTAAACAATTTTTTTCTATTTAATTAATATATCTTGATAATTTTGCAATATATATATATATATATATATTAAAAATTATAAAAAAAATATAATACATGTACCTCCTTTCATCCTCCTTTTTCATTTTTATCCTAAAACTTTTCTTCCGGTCAGTATCAGCTGTGATATCAACAAAGACGTCGTTGTCATGCATGAGCTTTTTCTTTTTGTGCTTTTTATGTTTATGTTTCTTGTGTCTTTTTTGCGGTAGGACATCACTTGTATCTGATCAATTATTTAATCAACATTGAGAATCGTGGAAAAATTTACATCACATGTCATTGAGAAGTATAACGCAAAAATTAAATATATGAATAGAGAATCATACCTAAATTCATTTCTTCTTCGGTACTTATATCTCTCGGCTTACCCATTAGTTTAAAAAGAATAGTCAAATAACTTATTTAAAAAATGATATATCCGAGATTGAGATTGCGTAAAAATAAATATGCAAAACATTTGCATTTTCTGTATTTCAATATTTCAATCCCTATTCCATTCTGTTCTGCTGTCTGCTCCTCAAAAGTTGATACATGGGTAATTAGGTTAGACAAGTCTTTATCGCATGCGCGGCAAACATAGACTTTATATATAAACTAGACTGCTACAACGATGTGACAGGTGAAGCCAGGGCAGCCAATGGGCGCGTTCGGCAGAGAAAGCGCTCTTGTCTTGTCAACACTCGATGTTGATTTGTTGGTTCTAAGGCCGGTATTCATAGTCCGTTCTTATATTCAAGATCGTCTTAAGTACGATCTTAAGATACTATGCGGCCATTTCATTGGTTGAATGGGATCTTAAGACGACCCAAGACCACACTTAAGACGATCTTGGATATGCTCTGAACTAGTGCAGCCACTTCAGCTATAAAGAACGACCTATTTACAATTGAGCAGAATATAACCAGACTGTCAATCGATATAACCTTATTTGAACGCATCCCCATATTGTTAAGATTCTTCGAGATTTTCTAACCTCATCAATCTCATTCCGGGACGTTTCTTTTTAATCTAACCCGGAACGTTTTTATTAGTTATAAGTGAAAGTATATATCTTAGAGAATCTTTCTTTTTGTGTATATATATATATATAGATATATAATTAATATAAAATGGGTAAGGAAAATGAATCGGATGGTACGAAAAAAAGAAGGAAGTCCGTGAATGCAAGCAGTGGAACGTCGATGAAAGACGGAGACATGTACAAGGTATATAAAAATTATAATTATTTGTTAATTATAATAAAGAACCAAAAATAGTAACAAAATATGTTGTTTTTGCTTCTATGAATTACACGTAACTTATATCCTTATCTTAGACAATAATAAGTTATGAAGAAAAGGAAGCTAATGAGAGATTGCCCGAAGACGATTCCGAATGTTTTTTAGCGACCTGCGACAATATTCGAGCAGCAATGGCTAAGATAGTTAAATTGAAATCCAGTGGAGATCCAAATGTCTGTAACAAAGCCTGAAAAATAATAGTCATTATTTATTGTTGAGTTTTCTGTAAATTTAATAAAAAACAAATATGTTTTAGGTGAAAGATGAGATTCGTGAATTGCAAATTCAAACATGCCTGGCATTTGTAGAATTGAAGAAGCTAAATCGCATGGAAAAATTTCGTACAAAATGCGCACGCGATTCTCTTGTGGCTGCAAAAAGCAGTGTAGACAGTAGACATTTGCATTTACAGAATCTGTTATATGAAGTGATGCATTTGAAAAAAGAAGTCGTCAAGTGTCTTCAATTTAAGTAAATCTTTTTATTTTTATGTAGAGAGGAAGATCTTTATTCTCTTATTATCTTTAAATAAAGGAAAATTACTTTTTTCTTTTCTTTCATTGTAGATCCAAAGACGAATTGATAGAACTTGTTTCAGAAGAGGAATTTTATAAAGAAGCTCCAGAAAGCATTTCACGATCTGTATATAAATTTTTCATATAGCTATATAGTAAATTTAAACATCTTTCTATAATACATGTGACGAATGTATTTTAGGAAATAACAAAAAACAATCCTCATCAATTGAGATTGGCTCGTTTGGAGTGGGAATTGACGCAAAGAAAACAGTTGGCGGTGTTATGTGATGAACTGACAGAGAGCAAAAAGGCGGTAGCATCTAGTATTGAAACAAAACAAACTCGCTTAGATAATCTTGCACCACAACTGCATTCTATATTAGAGGTATGAATTTACTTACTTAAAAAAAAAAATATATATATATATAATGTTCTTTTTAAACATTTAAATAAATGACAAATTTTTCTTTTTTGTGTTTTCAGGCGAGCAAACCATTGCAAGAGAGCCTTGGATTGCCATTAGATAAAATTCGTCAAGAGCATCAAAAAGCTTTGTTACTCGCATCAGCACTTTATGTATTATATGCAAAGGCATCTGCCTATAGAGACGCTTATGGTATAATTAATATATCAGATATATTTAAAATATGAATTTGTTGCCATTTTATGACTTAAAATCTCTCATTTTTATTGCTTCTTAAAATATCTTGTAGATAATACATTGGTGGTCAAAGTGGAAGGTGACGAAGATGAAGCAAAACGTGCAAACAATCAGGACGGTTTGCAAGAGTCCGATTCAGATCCTGAGAATCAATCGGAAAATATTGTAGAGGAAATGCCTGTGCATAAAAAGAGACATCATAGAGTTTCTCGGGAAACTAGGCAGGAAGAAAAGCGGTCAAAGCTCTTGCAACGACACCCATTGCATGTAAAAATCATTATCATATTAAAAAGTAAGTTTTGAATAGACATCTATGATCTATGAAAATTGGCTTGAAAGTTGCAATCAAATTCTAGTTTTATTTTAACATGTGTGATCATATTTTAATATAAGAAAACGTAAAATTAAATAAAATTAAACTATATTTGGAATCTTTCTAAAAATCTTGATTTAAATCTCATTTTTGTAAAATTAACTTTTCAGATGAGACGAAATTGACTCTTTGCTTTTATTACATGATCTATTTAAAAGTCATTACAGTGGAGTCAAAACTCGAAACGGAAGACTTAGGAGGTATTAGTGCTGGGTATGTAAAATTACTTAAACATTACTTAAAAATTACTTAAATTTTTCTTGACTTGTAATATTGAATTATTTAAATTTATAATATATAATTATGAGAAAATACACTTTTCTTTTTTCTATTATTTGAGATAATTATTTCAAGTTGTATTTATTAATAGAGACATGCTGGTATCAGAATCAATTCTTCGCGAACTATATCCGCGAGATTCGGGATTGGAGAGTCCGAATCCCGCCAATCAGTATCAGTTATCACGGCATAATTTGGGTTCGTTCTCGTCTTTGGGATTAGGCATTCCTTATAGATGGGCACAAAGAATGGCTGGTCTGCAGTTTGTCTCATCTGATATGAATGAACAACAACAAAAGGTACATACACTTGTAATTAAAATGTTAAAAATAATTAATTTAAAGTAAAGTTAAAATCTTTGTTTTCACACTTGTTAAAAGAAAAAAAATAGTCTCTTTGCTTGGGTATAGTAAGAAGTTATAATAATACAAAATAATTAATTTTGTTTATTGATATGATTAAATCAGCATATATTTAACTAAAATTTAATTTATTTTAATTAAAATTTAATTAACTATTTGTAGCTTACAAGTCAAGAATTGGCACAAGATTGTGTCGAAAGTGTATTGAAAGAAATCAAGCGGCGCGTGAAAGCGCGGCTAGATTTATGTTCGGAGATACGACAATTGGAATCTGGTAATCTGTCAATCTTCATCAGCACGGCAGATCCAGTGCCGCAAAAGATCTCAACGTCATTGCACCGATTCACGACGATGACCTGGAAAAATTACTCGAATTATATTACTTCGCCAGCATTCTGCCAAAAGGGATTAGTATCGTCCGTAGATATCTTCTATGAAGCTGTACTTCGTCGTGGCAGTAGTATGATTATTACTATTATTCCAGATTTTTTTATACGAATATAAGTTATTTTCCAGACATTTAGATTTAAAATGATTTTTAGGTGAACTTGTGGCAAGAATCGCTATTAAGCCAGATTATCCAAAAATAGCACCAGTATTTAGTGTAAGTATCAGTCAAATGGTACCGGCATCCGCCGATATCATTAGAGACATCGAGAGAGAAGTCAACGTGATGTGGACAAAATCTCCGACGTTGACAGCGCAGATACAACGACTGAGGGCATGTTTCGATATCTACCTAGAAACTGAGAGTATGGCACCAAAGGAAAAGATATTTTTCCATCCTGTGAAAGGGCGAACTCGTGCTCGACCATACAAATATTTGTCGCTCGGAGGAGGAATATTTATTCACCGTTAAATAAATTAAATTATTTGTATATATGTGCGTATTCTTTTATTTTTTATTAATTCCCAAGTACTTACACAAAAAATATAAATTTTTTGATTTCTTTAAATTATTTTAATTCTTAAAACGATTTATCAAAAATTTAATTTTGATTTTAAAATACATTGATTAATATTTTTAAAATATGATATTAGATCATATCTTTTTAGTTAAAAAAAAATGTTAATATTGATCTTTCCATTGGAAATAAATGTATTCTGTTTATATAGAAATAGACGTAAGCGGCCGTGCGGTTGGAGTCTTAGAAACGGTCAAGAGATATGTGCGCAAGGTGTTTCTCAACTGTTTATTCTCGAAAGACAGCTTATCGCATTCCTTTTTCATGAAAATGTTATCAGCTTTAATATAATTAAATTGTTCCCAAAAATTCTCCAATTTATCGAACGGCTCTGACATCTGCAAATAATCGTATTATTTAATCTTATTTTAATAGGATATATGTTTTTCTCTTACGTATACGCAATAACTCACGCAGCTCGTGAAAGTTGTTCTAGATCCTGTATCGCGTAAATTGTATTTCTGAACAGTCAGTAAACACGGTTCCAAACTCGAACACATTTTCAGCAACGAAATCAATATTGAGCCTTTCTCTGAAATCCTTTTCAATTCCTACAAATTAAGCAATCTTATGGGATCCAAACGTTAGTATTTGTTCAATATACATGCATATATAATCCATCACATAAACACAATTTTTTCTTTGATTTAATTAGAGGTAGTTAAATTAAATCCAACTTTAATCAAAGTTTAATACTTTTAGAACGCTGGTACTAATAATAGTCAATTTTTTCAGCTGAGTGGTGTCCAGCATTTGAGTAATAGAAAACGTTTGTCTCAAGCTTTCAATCCTCTTTCTCATTTGCACAATCTGATCTTTATATTCCGTTATACTATGCTCCCGCTTCTGCGATAATGCGTACGTGTCCTGTTTCAAACTCTTAATTGTACTTTGCAACTGTATTTGCAACTTTGGATATTGCGCCACATTCGCATGATGAGCATCGTCCTGTTCTTTCAAGTATTCGTACTGCTTTCTTTTATCTCCCGTATTGTTCTCGTACTCGATTATCGTTTCATTTAGTTGTCGCCATAATTCCTCAACTTCATTGGAAGCGTATTGCATCAAGCGTGACAAAGAGTCTTCCTTCTAAAATATGTTTGCATTATTGTATCAATATCTATCATAGGACAAAGTACATAATGATGAAATATTCTGTACCAAGTATACAATGCTGTGTATGTTAATAGCATTTTGGATTTTCGTTTGCGTCAATTTGCTTCCTATTTCTTTGTCTTGTCCAAAAATTATATTCTGCAGTTGATCGCAGAGCTGCTCTAAATCCCTTCGTACTCTATTTAATTCGTTCACCTCATTAATAGCAATATGATTGCGTTCATTTGTGAAGGATTCATGTAGATGCATACATTTTTGCTTATATGTTCCTATGTAATATCAATAATTATCAATGTCTTTCTTTATACAAGCGCACACGCAAATATATATTGAATTTAAAAATTAGGATATTATTCAAATTATTTGACTTAAAATTAAAATATTTAATTGTATGTTCTTATACTTTATATATAACTTATATAATGTGAGTTACCAATTATTAGATCCATAATTTGAATATGAGCCTCTTGCAATCTTCTGTGATCCATATCAGTTGTCTGTAGCTCATTATATAAATGCTGTATCATGAGATCTTTTGTCTTCATCATACGATCGAAATTTCTCCAAAGATACTCCACGTTTTCATGAAGTTCCTTACATTTTATTCGACGTAGAATAAATCGCCATTGTTCATTAATCTTTGCAGTGTTTAATCGCGAGAACGCTTCCTCGCGTTTCAGCTTATTCTACATTTCATAAAATGATTTATTACAAAATCACATTATCGCATTATTTATTTCAATTGCACGTTTAATATACCTTAGTAAACGCCGCAATCAACTGTTGCTTACGTCGTTTGCTTTCTAATTCTAATTCAGCTCGATGCTGCAAGTAGCGAGCGCGTTCCTCGTCGCTCATACGAGCTAATTTGCTTCCCTTTCCCTTTTTTTTCGGCATTTTACAACGAATTAATGTTCACACTCTTAAATAATTAATATTTAAATAGTTTATTCTTAACAAGATACAAATTTTCCGTAAGAATAACGATAATAAGACCTCTGTTACGGTCAACTAGATAAACACATGTTTGATCAATAATGTGTTGATCAAGTTCTAATTGATACAATATATTATGTGGCTTATAATACATTATAAAAATTTTATTTGACTTAAAACAAACTCTCTCATTTCCACTGGAATATAATATAAAATTTGTAATCAAAAATTTTAGTCACTTATAAAATTTTATAAAAATATTTTCACATATACACATATACGTAGTGTTAAAGACTTTGCAATTCTGTTTCAATAAAATTAGATATGAAAATTTATATATTAAATATATTATATCGCTCTATACTCTGTAATAACTTGAAACATAAAAAATATATTTGTATATATATTTTTATATATTAAGCAAAAATATGTTATGCAATCTTCAAAAGATATTAATATTATCTTTTTTAATAAACACTTATAAAATGTAAATGTCATATTATTTTTTTGAGACAATAATTTTATGCAAGAGTATGGACATATACAATATTTGTATATGCAATATTAAATACTTTTTTACTAAAATTGTAAATAAATCAAGGCATTGAGAATAAAAAACTATCAAATTTGCATCTTGATCGAAGCTCACATTCTTCATGAAAATATACTATAGTTGCCCTGCAACTATATTATACAATAGTAAATGTTGTGTAGTAATAGTTTCTATAAGCTCTTTGTATTATTCTATTTGGTGGAAGACTTAAATGCAACTTGGTTAATAAATGCATTGATTTTTGTAGCTCTCAATGGCGAAATATGTATCAAATATTTTTTTGCAATGCCATAGTTCTGGTGTCGATATTTTCCATGGACAGTGGTCGCTCTTTCGTCGTCGGTATGAAGCTTTGAGTACGTTTGATCTTTTCGCCTCCTTTTAGAGGACGCGTCACGATTTGCGTTTCCAGTAGAAATTGAGCCTCTTCGGCATGTTTTACTTTTTCACGTGCGACACGCAATTCAGTATCCAGATGCTCTCTTTCCATTTCCAGTTGCTGAAGTCGCAATTCGGCTTCTAAAAATAACATAAAACAAAAACAAAATCTTAAAATAAAAATATGGATAAAAATAGAAGTAAAAATAAAATTAAAGATAAAGTATAAAATATAAGCTAAATACATTAAAGACTAAGAGAGTATCTTTTGCACTTTAGAAAATTTAGGTTAATTATAGCTTAATGTGTGAAGCTTTTACATACACAAAAGCTTCATTAAATTATATATTAACAAGAAGTAGTAAAAAAGTATTAAAATAATATTTAATTATATTATGTATGTATATAAACAATTAAATATTTTATTTTTTATATTCTAGATCTTATACCATGCAACTGCTGTTCGTTTTTCTGTTGCATTCGTTCAAACTCTAGTCTTTTCATCTTCTCCATCTCCAACAATTCTTGCTGCTCCTGCTGCAGCTTTTCCAATTGCTCTCTTTTCTCCCATTCTTCGCGTAATACTCTTGCTTGCAAATTTCGTACTGTAATATATAACATATATAATATTTAAATTATACAATTCTAAAAAAAAGATATATATATATTGATATAAATTATATACACAATATTCTTACCTATTTCCTCATCGCGTAGAGCCTGTTTTTCTTCTTGTAGCAGCAGCTCTAATTTCTGTTTAACATCTTCCAGTTGTTGAACTTTGGCACCTTCCTCTTTCGATAGAGCTTCTAATTTCCGAGCTTGTATTTCAGCAGCAATCCTAGCTTGCCTTTCATGCTGAAGTTCCAGCTTGGTCTCTTCTTTTTCTTGTTTAGTAGCCTAGTAATAGCAACAAAGCGGTTAGAAATAAATTGTAATTAAAACTATTAATGTATTTTATTTATTTTTCTGCAAATTTTACTTGTCGCAAAGATCTTCTTTGATTGGCCAAACTCCTCTGATAGCCGATCTTCTCGCCCGAATGCTGAATGGCCGTTTGCAATGCTGCAAGCCATTGCAGCCTACCTTTATGGTCCTCTGCCACTAGCTCTATACATCTGTGTTCGGGTGTACTAAGAACAAATCTTCTATCAAGTTTCCCATTATTTGGCAGAGAGTCAGCCCAACAGTTAGCGTTCAACAATATCAATCCGGACGGTTCTTTTTGGTGTCGATCTTTATAATATGTCAATTCGCCAGGGCGCAGTACAAACCAGAAATATCGTAGTGTTGGCAATAAAAAACCTTTCTTCATCAAATAACCCTATGCAACAAAATTTATAAAAAGAGTTATAATATTAAAAATTAATTTGTATATATATATATATAACATAAACAAATTTTCATAATTTTCTTACAGTTTGTTTTTTATTTGAAATTTTAATCAACATTTTGATTTACCTTTTTCACTACATTCTCCACATAAATCTGGTAGAGATCATCAATAGCTTCTGTTAATGCCACAGTGTCCAAGGTATTACCACCACTGTACTTAGATTCGAGAACTGCTAGGAATGTGGGAAATCTTCCCAAAAAATTTTTCATAAAGAAATTGCATTCTGTGTATTATTATTATTGATTGAATTGATAAAACATTACCTAAACATTTTGATAGCTGCTGATAGAGCAGAAAAATCTATAGCGTCCCACTGCAGACCCAAGGACATTGCCAGATGGGAAGCAATTCGCGCCACTTCATCGCCATGCATTGTTACCTGTATAACACAAAGATAATATATTAAATATCTAATATAATGAAATATGTTTCTGTTTACAAAATGATCTTCGGTTTACAAACAAATAAGTAACCAACCAGATAAGAATCTGTTGCATTGGAATCTGTCTCAGCCAGTAGACAGTAAATTCTAAACAACTGGTAAACACTGTGATTTTCAAAGACTGGATGGGATCTTTCCAGATAGTTCTTTCTACAGACCAGCCAACAGATTTCATCTATACCTTCCTCCAGTCTTTTCAATGTATGTATAGAGGTAGCATCAGTTACAGAAGAGAATACCTGAAACATTTAACAATTTTGCATTAAGTTGAACACAATAAAGATAAAGTTAATGCTCTAAACCAAAGATAGAAGAGAAAATATATGAAACAACTTGGAAAAATATATAAATACTTTTAACAAAACATTTAAAAATAAAAAAGAATATAAACACATTTATATTCTAATTATATTTCTTAAAAATAATCTTTTGATGACTCATGACTTTTTGCTCTTGTAGAATGTCCTACCTCTTTTTGTAAATAATACATATACTGATCAAATGTCAAGTTTTGTGTACTCCGATAATGCTCTAGGCCTTTCTCCACGCCATATAAATCCATCAATGTACCAATATTGGCTGTCAACACCTATGGGCAAATCATCAATCGTGAGAGGGATATATTATATATATTAAGAAAGAGAAAGAGAGGATACCGCGCTGTAATTCAACGCATGCGCATTGAAATTCTATGTGCTGCAACATCAGTTTTCATTGGTCGCGTTCAGCAGAGAAAACCGCTTAGTAGCAATAGAATGTGATTGGTTCTTACTTTTAGAACCAACGAATCAACGTCAAGTGTTGACAAGACGATAACTGAGCGCTTTCTCTGCTGAACGCGGCCAATCTTAGCTTATACTGTATTTCAACGCATGCGCATTGAAATTCTATGTGCTGCAACAGCAGTTTTCATTGATTGCTGTCAATTACAATTTGGTTATGATTTCGATGTATTGACGGCATGTCAAAATCAGCATGGATCCTTCTGTTGATTTTTCAAATTTGTCTGTTTGGAAATACAGTTGGTTCAATAGGTGACAAATCACAAGCGTACAAGCAATGTCTAGCATTGTGTCTCACTAGGAATTGTAAAAATGGTAACAACTGATTTTATATATTTTTTTCTCTCTCATTGTTATTTATTATTTCTCTAAAAGGGTGTTATATAATAATCAGGCCTTGATACTCTAAGTATTCAATAATTTTTTTATTGATTAGAAAAATATTTTTTATTCTGTGCAAATATATATTACAAAATTTATATTAAATAAGATATTAAATATATAAAGTTTTTTTGTGTTGCTTTAATTATACACTTTCCTATACATTTTTTTTTTCGAATTTAATAAAAATATTCTCTCCCTTATTATATAATATAAAGAGGAGAATTTATAAAGATAATTATATTTAATAAAGAGTTTTTAATTATATGCACTTATATGTTGCAGAAACAACTTTTAAGGAACAACCATCTTTATCATTAATTTTGTTACACTGGACCTGTAAGGAAGATTGCAGTTATATTTGCACATGGAAGACCGTTGACTCTTTTGTATCTCATGGTTTGAAAATACCACAGTTTCATGGAAAAGTAAGCAAAATGTGAAAATGTAAAACTTTACATAATTTTATAAGAATAATACTTAAATGTTATATGCAGAATTATAAAATATTATACAGAAAATTATGAAATATTACATAGAAAAATATTTGTTATATATAATCTGGTGTTATACATTTAACAAAAGTTAATTGTATAACAAAAGATTAATGTTAATATTATGATTAATTTTAATATTAAATTAAATTTTACTCATATATAATTTTTGTAACATGTTATTTATAAATGTTTAATGTTATATTAAATTTTACTCTTATAATATTTATAACATTCCATTTATAAGTAGAATGACACAAGTTATTCTCTTCCTTGCAGTGGCCATTTATTCGTTTATTTGGATGTCAAGAACCTGCATCAGTTTTATTCTCTATATTAAATTTTTATGCACATTGGGTAATGCATCAAAAATTTAGAAGGAAAGTAAATTGGACTAACCCTATGTTCTATGCTTGGGAATATTTCAGCATTGTAAGTATATATTCAAGTGCCCTACACATAGAGAAGCATTTTTCACATTTAGATTCTGTAATTACAATCAATAAAAGCATAATCATGGTTAACAGTGTGTAATAATTAAATATAATCTTCAAATCTGTTTTATAAATTGGGAAATTATAAATTAATAACAAAAATCATAAATAAAAAGCAATAACTCTACTTTTCGAATTTCTTATAGGTGATACGTGATAAAAATTATATATAATATGTATAATAATTATGAAATTTCTTATAGGTGATTTTTTCAATAAAATTGTCTATTGTTTAATAATAATATTTGCCAATTTTTATAATTATGGTTATATTAATTTTATATATGATTTTTAGCAATTAGCATTCTTCAAGCTTTAATTTATAGTTTTATTGCAGATATGCTTGAACGGATGGTTTTGGTCCACTGTATTTCATTCACGAGACAGACCATTTACAGAAGCCATGGACTATTCTTGCGCATTCAGTATGGTACTTACATTGTTATATTGCATGCTCTTAAGGTAATATGCAATAGTTTCATTCTTTTCGTATACAAATAATGTATTCTTCAAAAATATGGAACAATACTATTTTTAGATTAATTTCAAAATAGTTTATATAATATTTTATATTTTAGACATATACAAAAATTTAGTCTGCAATATGTAATGCTAAATTTAATATATGTTTTGATTATTTTTAGGATAACCTACAAGAATAATAAAGCATTTGTTATAATAACTAGTGGATATCTAAGCATTTTATGTATGCATTTATTGCACTTATGGTCAGGCAAAATTAATTATGGTTATAATATGATGCTTAATATAACGATAGGTAAATTCTACATTGCAGTTAATATCTTTACAGAAAAATAATTATACTATGAACATGAAATTTTTGTAATTTCAGGCTTGACGACCTTCGCGATAACAATGCTATGGTGGTATTTTAATCGCAAGTCTCACGTGTACTTAATCGGTTGGTTCAATACATTGACTGTTTTTGTGACTTTGCTAGAACTGGCAGACTTTCCTCCTATCTTTTGGATATTCGACGCTCATTCTTTATGGCATGCTAGTACTATTCCTTTAGCAATATTATTGTATAGGTGAGAAAGAATTTGACAGGGGTTTATAATTTTAATTATAGTATATAGTTATTGAAGTTAATTAACAGCATTGACTTGTAACTATTATAAATTAGTTTCGCAATAATTACACACAAACATATATAACATCAAGTGATAGTATATATCAAGTTTGAATCTCTTGAAAATGATAAATTAGTTAATAGAAATAATAAATTAATTATTGTAATTAATTATAGTTTAATCGCTTCTTGATTGACATGAACAACAGTGATATTAGATGATGAGGATAAAAGTGGAGGGCTCTTTAGCATGAAAAAAAGAAAAAAATATATATATAGATATCCATAAATAATTATATTTTCGTTTGTTTTACAGGTTTATGATTTCAGATTGCTGTTACTTGAAAATATATTCTAATAAGTTACACGTTTAGATTTTAATTATTATATAAATAATTATTATATTTTAAACAATAATTATATTATATATATATGTAGACATCATATTCATTAAGCGCGATTCCAACATCGTTTTGAAATCGTATTAGATACTGTTGCAGACAGCACAAAATACTAATTGACGAAAAGATGTCTTTCTTAGATCATCTTTTCGGCAAAGCTAGAAAATGTCTATATTATAATATAATAGCATTTATATTAAATTTTAATCCTATGATATATATAATTAGAACGACTCAAAAATGTTTATAATTAGTCATTTTTAGTCATCAGGCTAAAAAATGACTTACAATGGGACATATACCGTCTATTTGTTTTATTTTTTCGTCGACTATATGCTGTCACTAAAAGATCTCTTCGTAGAAAATATGTCGTCTTTCAGTTATCTTTGAGATGACATAGTACTGTATGGCATATTTTGTTACAAATATAATTGTATTAGTTTAATCTAGAAATTATGAGTCACCGATATTTTCGCGAAATTGTCGCAACTTATTTAGAATGATAATAAATTAACTAAAATGAAGTGGCTGACATCGATATAAATCTCGATAGAGTAGGATAAAGCCCGATAAAGAGATAAAATACGATTGTTATGTAAATATTAAGACAAATTCTGTATTCTTTATCTTAACGACCGTTATCAAAAAATAATCATTATTGATATTCGATTAAAAGACATTGTATATATAAAACGATGTAATTAATCTTACTTGTCAGTCAGGTTTTGGTATGAAATCAAGCGGCATCCAGTAATCAATAAGCAAGCATGAGATTCGCCGTAACATTATGCTTTTTGGCTACACTTTCTGGCTATACTTTTGGCTACACCGTAAGTTTTCTATAAAAAATTAAAATATAATATTTCTAGATTTTATTTTTTTGATAAAATATGTCAAAGAAAAATCGTTGGTGTATCTCTTCCTTCTTTCTCTCTCTCTCCACTTTCTCTCCCTTATTTCTTTCTCTCTCTCTCTCTCTCTCTCTTTTTCTCACTCCACCTCCCTCTCTGTATCTTTCCAAATTAAAATCCCGATGTTTAAAAATCTTGTATAATAGTTTTATATCGACTAATCGTAAACATTAATTCTACACATTTATAAAAAAAATTATAAGAATATGCATTTGCTTATAATACTTATTATTGTATCTTTCGATTTTAGATTGATGCTAGTCCAGCATCGGACAATGTGGAAAAATGGAGACTTCAAGTGAGAAATGCAAAAAGCAACATAGATGATATCATACGTCAACTCAAACTTCTTCGTACCGATGCTGTAGAAGACACTATCACAGAAGTCACGGAAAAAGGGGATGAAGAACAGAAAAGTTTTAGAGAATATAAAAATCTATTACTTAAAGAAATCAAGGTAATCATTTTTAATTGATTTGCAATCGAACAATATGTTAATTTTTTGCGAGTTCGTATTCTAACTATTTATTAATCTAATAAATTGTTAAGGATAGATACAAATTCTTCGACTAATTTATCTTGATAACCGCAGTCTCTTAAAAAAGTTTATATACAGATAAAACAAAATTTTTTGATAATGTGTAAGAAACTATAATTCATATGTAATTCATGCGATTTCTTAATGCAATTCTTAATCTTAAATCGTGTAATTATATAATATTAAATAATAATATAATTATATGGGCTGCAGATTAATTTGAACAGTATTTTACATAGAATACGTCTATTAGCATTATTTTGTGCCTGAATATTTTTATAAGAATCTGTAAAAAAAGATATAAAGTCAATTATGCATAGTTATAATACATGTAAATCAATTTGTGTATAGAAATTTAAATGACTATGTCTTCCACATAGCAAATGTACGTAATTTATCATCAAAATATCGTTATTTGATGTCATAATAATATGTGCTTACTCGGGAGTAATGAAATATTATTGCGATATTATATTAAAGTCATAAAATATTTTTTATATTAAAAATAATGTAACTATAATGTAAAATTTTATCATTTATTCTTAATGATATTCTCAAATTAGAATCGAGAGCTCAAGTTTATTGAAAAAGTATATAAATCTACTAAACTATTATCTAAAAGAAATTGATAACTTCGATATTTAATAAAATATACAAATACGTAAATACGTTAGTTTACTCGCTACATTTGTTTACTCATTTTTAGAAAATAGTAAACACTGCTAAGGAAGCAGACAAGGATGTAACCTCATGCTACGAAGAAGCTAATAATGGCATCAATGCAATTGTAGATGCAATATACGACGATGATACGAAATGCAATGATGCTGCCGAAAATTCGATCGAGAACGATCTCGGCTTTATCAATAATCTTATTTCGGTATATTTCCACAATTGTTATCGCATTTTACAATTAATTGATCCTGCATTGAATAATTATAATATTGACGAAAATTCTAATTTTATTAACTTCTCCATAGACTGGAAATGAACTGTTATCAGACTTGGATGGCATTTTTTTAACTTGCTACGATAGCGATACTTCAAAAAGGGACAGTTGCATCGTAACTGATTTGGCGAGAATAAATGCTGACATAAGGGGTTTAAGGAGCCAGACCACTTCTGCTGAGATTACTATCGTGTACGTGTCCAAAAATATTGTTCTACAAGCCACAAACTGCTTAAACAAGGCTTATTCGTCTGTACATTCGATGGGTGATATGATTAAGATGAGACTCGTCCAATGCATTGAAACGATCCAGCTAACTACAACTACAACTACAACTACAACTACGACTACTTCGACAGAAGCCACTTCGCCATCAGAACCAAAAAATTCTCAAGAGACGATTGTATTTTCAACTATATAACTAATCTTTGTTTAAAATTACTTTTGAAAGGCAGTATGTTTTAAGACTGTTAATTTGAAAAAAAATACATTGTTCTGATTATTATGTTTTTTATTCGTTTTAACTTACATGCTCCGAAAGACTCTGTAGTATAGTACAATATAGTATAGTATACAACTATAATATAATACGAGAGAGATGAGAAAGAGATTTTATGTAATGTAAAAGAGCAATAAAAGTAATTGCAAAACGAGAATTATTTGTCGATACGATTCCTTATTTATATCGCTTCCGATTGATCTTTATTATATATCACATTTCACACAAGATGAAATTATAGGATAAGTTGTGTCTTATCTTCGTACAAATAGAGATTTTAATATATGCGCTATCTTTTTCGTGAAATTCGATTATCTGATCTATTGATTTAATAATCTATGACTTATTCATGCCACTTATACAAGTAATATTATATCGGTAACTCATTAAGATGCAATACATATAAAAAGATAAAAAGACATTTTGATAACAAGTTATAGTGAATATTTCGTTATGGAAAAGTTATATCCGTACATCAATGAACAAAAAACATTTTGTAATTACATAGTGCTCAAATAAAAATATATGCAAAATTAAATAAGTGCTACTATTTGTTAATGAAAGCAACTCAGCTATCATACACATTTGCATAAATATTTGATGTATATGTATATTTTTGGCTTGATATCTCGGAAACTAGATATTGGTTTTGAGTATTTACAGATAGTAAAATGCTAACAGTATGCCAGCAATATGCCAGCAAATTTACTTGTATAATCATGACTTTGTAGCAGATTCCGGTTTGCTGCGTCCTCATTAAGCTTAATTTCTGGCAGCACGGCTTGCCGCTATAATATAATAGAGTAAATGGAGCAAAAAACGAGTATTGTTTGCTATTACGTCGTGAGAATGAGTATGTAGCAAATATCGAGCGAAGTCTGCCATATCAAATACTGACGATAGAAATCCGGCAGAAATTAAACATGGTCTGCCATTACAACGTGACAGTAGAAACGCGATAAGAATAAAATATAATCTATCTCATCAATTATTAAAAGCAGGAACGCAATAAAAGTCGAACATAGCCTGCTGTTACAATGTGACGATGAAAACACGGAAAAGATCAAACACGCCTGCAAAGCACAATTATTAATATAGATCCAATAAAAATGAATATTATAAATGTTATTACATGAATGTTTACGATAAATCGTCAGTTACTTGTAATTTTCCAGTCATAAATATAATATATAATGTATAGCATGTGTGTGTTACATCGTAGTTATATTCTATATGTAAATATTTGGCATAGTTATAAATAATTAATTAAATATATAAATTTAAATAAATAATTTATTTATTAATAATTCGTAAATTTCAAAATTTGTATGGAAATTGAACTCTTATTTTATTTCAAGCAGTCAATAAATAAGACGGCAGATCATGCTGCTGCCAGAGTTCTGCCGATATATAATATGTAATGCATATTTTGTGCAATACGTGATCTGGCAGACTTGGCTATCTGGGTTATTAAGTAATATAATTGCTTATCTTTATCCCTCCCTACTACCTCTTAAAGCTTGACAAAATGTTTTTTATCATCCTGTATAAAAAGGCGCAATTAATGTGATACTTATCACAATTAGTGGTTGATTTCTCGTGTTAACAGAGCCACTTCTAAGTGATACCGACGAGCAATCATGAATATTTATGTAACGTTATGTCTTTTCACCGTATTTTCAACAGTAAGTTTTTTTTTTTTTTGTATATAAAATGATTTATGATAGAGATATACCTTTTTCTGTTATTTTTTTTACAGAATGTTAATTCAAAGCCTAATGATGATCAACATTTAATATCTAAAACTGATTACACCATGGAACAAAATGGCCAAAATGAAATTTTTGCACAAGTAAGTGTTTAATATATCATTTTTAATGTTGATAGAATGTTTATTAAAGAAAAAAATTTATTTTAAATTTACTTCTTCATTAAAATAAAAATTCCGTTTTTATCGTTTTATATTTTCATTAGAATTAAATAAACATTCAAGTTCAACAATTGACAAGAATTATATGCATTGCGCTTGCTCATACTCATATACTGATTAATACAATGTTTTTATCTTTTCATTGTCTACGCTACTGATCCATTATCGAAGAATTTGGAAATTACAATTAAAGTGAAATATGTAATATGGAAAGTGGAGAGCATCACACAACAATTCAAAAATATTCGTAAAGAAACGGAAGAAGATACCGCCACGACAGTCACGCACAAGTGGTGGGACGAAATGGACAACTATAAAGACTTGGTCAATCATTTGCTCGTTTTTATGCGCGTGAGTAATAATTCAAATTAAAATGTAAAACTGTATATAGACAAAATAATATTTTTTATGATATTGTTAAAATATTGATATTATATTGATAAATAAGCGCTAATAAGATGATATTATATTGATAACATAATAATAAGAGATAACAATATTAATAATAAGAGACAAACACTGTAATTTTATCATACTATATTGTATATATAATTATGGCTAAAGATATAAATAGCTTACGGATTATCTACGGCAAGATGTCTTATGCAGAATAGATTTATTAATGTTTTTATTAATTTTTATATAGAAAAATTTAATATTAATTGTAAAGTACCGCATTCGATAAAACCCATAAATATACATAATATGCGTTCGCATAATGTGCGTTCACTTATTTCAATAATATATTAAAACATTACTGTATTGCTTTATCAATTGATCCACTTTTAGAGAGAAGTTAATCATGCTAAGGCTAAGGATAAAGCGAAGGATAAGGATATACAACGCTGCTACGATACCAATTTTTGTGGCATAAGCAAGCACAGTGACGCAGCATATAAAGCCGCAGAAGAATGCGTAGAAACAGCTGAGAACTCCATCGAGAAGAGCCTCGGATTTATCGATGATCTCACCTTGGTAAATTCTTGCTATTATTATTATTATTAATCAACTCTTTGAGACAATTTATCTGAATAATTAATTGGTGTTGATTGATGATCGAAGTTCTCTTTTTTGCTCATATATGTCGGTGCGGCAGAAAATAGCACTGAAACTTTGACTGATATATATAAAATATCAGTAAAAAAAAAAGATATATATATATAATACACATATCACATATTTTTTGAAAAATTCTTTGTAAAAATTTTAAATGATTGAATAGGACTGAACAACGTATATTTTTTTATTCATATTAGGAACTTTATACTGATACTGCATTTGCCGCACATATGCGAAAGAGGGACGCCCATCGAAAAACTGACGTAGACTAAATTCTAATCATATTAATTTTTTTCACAGTTAGGGGAAACGTTAATAACAGAATTGAATGAGCTTTCCACAAAGTGCCATAATAGTGATAGTAGCACAATGGAAAGCTGCATTCTTACCGAACTAGCGAGGATTAACATCGCTGTGAAAACTTATGAGGAAAATGCGAAATATGTCGAGTTCAACGCCTTGTCCGCATCCGATTATGTCGTTCTGCAAGCTAACAAATGCTTGTACAATGTTTATAAATATGCGGGTTTCGAAAGCAAGGGCGCCATGTCGTCTAACTCGGGATGTATCCAAAATGTTCTGAAAAATAAGAAAAGTATAATTAAAAATCTAAAGTCTACATGTAAATTACGACTTGCTTCTGTTTGAAGTTTGTTTCGAGAGAAAGAAAAAGAGGGACTAAAAAGAAAACAATAGATATTCAATAGAACCAATTCAAAGCACTGCTACAATTACGTATATCCTTTATATTAAAAAAAAAGCCTTCATTGTTAACGTACTCTTGTCCACCTTTCCTGCAAAGTCGACTTCCAAAAAATAGTTTTATGTCCGTATATAAAATTGAAGTAAAATAAAAACACAATTGAAAAAACGAAAAGTATTTGTTGGTATGTTTATTTACTTGCTTCCGATTGTCCTTTATCATGCGTATGTTTTACACGAATTTATAAAATCATTTATGATAAACGATATTGTTGTGTAAATCATAATCTTTACGATATTTGTCGGATAAAATCTAATATTTTATCGAAATAAAGATAGTATGATAGTATTCCATTAGGACATAACATTTTTTTTTTAAATCTTTCATTATGACACAACATGTATATAAAAGAATGCAATTAATACAGCTTGTTAATCATTTATAGTACCATTTATAGTATCAATCTGAGTGACTCTTAAATGATATTAGCAAGCATGAGGAACAACACGATAGTATTATGCTTTTTAATTGTATTTTGTACCGTACATTCTTTTCTGCAAAATAATTTAGAACAGATATAATTTTGTGTTCGTAAAATGAGGATTTAAGGATAGAGTTTAAGGAGAGTTTAAGGAAAGTTTAATATTTAAGACTTTATATTAAAAATCAATAATAGTATGACAAAAAATAGCAAATAAATGTTAATATCGTGTTTGCTAAAAAAATTAACTTTAAATTTTCTTCGAATAAATACACAGTTTTTCATTTTTATTATTTATCGTATATATATATATATACAATATTCTCATAACTAAACTTAAATAGTAATTCAAACAAATAGCAAGACTTGCAAGATAAAGCTCAAATAATGCAATTGTTAATGCAGTCTTTAGTCTTCAATTTTAAATAGATGCAACTGTTCTGAAATTTTGTTAATTTGAGTGGAATGTGGAAAAAAACATACGCAATTCGAGAGCATTTACAATGAAGTCGAACACAATGCTGATCTCTGATAATCATAAAAAGTAGTTAAAACAAATCAAAAAGCATAGAAACTATGTTAATCTAATGTTCAATGCGATATACATAAATAGAAATTTGCATAAATATGTGACGTAATGCACTAATTTAACACGTTGTCAAGAATAATATATACCGCGTGTGAATAAGAATTCTTTTACGCTATTATTGACAATATCACATTAAAAACCGTTTATACCAAAAGAAATTTTTTTATCATAAAATTTTGTAATATATTTGAGATAAATAAAAATAATTGAAAAACACAGAGGAATTGTGTTTTTCAAAAAGATTCGCTTGCAAATATCTAGTCATGTTTTGGAAAAATTGGTTTTATTGTAATAAATTCGCGATATTAATTATGCTAGCTTTCTTTTTATTATTATGAAAACTTTTATAAGTTAAAAACAAGTTTAAAATGGCCTAAAAATCTATGAATTTATTGAATAATTTCTTAGAAAATAGTCCATAATATTCAGTAGTAACACGTTTGCTTATTGGAAAACATGAGAGTTAATAAATCATAAAAAATACAATGATTTAGTTTATTTGATGTATCATTTATTCATTCATGATTAGAAAGAAGTCAAAGCCGCTAAAATGGCAGGCAACAATGCGCCATGATGTCATCAGAATAAAATTTCTATCGAAGCAATCTTGATTTTATTGATCGTTTTATCTCAGTAAGATATCCAGTCATTATCAGATTTTAGTACATTTTCCACTCTAAATGATTAACTAGGGATTAAATTATGATTATATTATTTCTATTCACACAGATTGAATATGTATGTACGGATTGATAACAGAACAACATTTTTTTAAGACTTTCAAACATTCTCAAATTGCAAAACTACATCACCAATCAACTGGGAATAAGCAATGTCATGAAAAACTTATTAAACGATATTAATTATGCCACATCTGTCACTATGTATGCCTATAAAATTGTTGTTTAGCAGTGTAGCGGTTGCCTAAACAATGCGTTTACTCGATTACGTACTTACAGGTTGCCGAGGCCAAGTCGCCAAATGCTTCAAGGCTTTGTAAAAAGAACATTTTTATTTTACTATGCTGGTCAACTGCAATTAATCTTTTTCAAATGTGCTCTCGAGAGGAATATTATTACATTCTAAGTTGTTCCATACTGCTAGTTAAAAAAAGACTACGTTGTAAGTACGCTTAAATTTTGTAATTGAGTAGTAAGTTTGCGATATCAATTATGATACCTTTCGTTTTATTATTATGCAAATATTACATAATATGTAATTATTATTTATACATATACAGGATATGTCCCAGAATCGGCGCATCAACTATTAATGACAGATTTCATTTGGAGACAATTTTTCTTCAACAAAAATATCAAAGAAGGGCATATAATTTTGTGCAAGTTTCCAATTTATACCACATCATATATTTTTGCAACTAATTCTTAAATTAGAATTTTGTTGAAGCAAACTCCATATAAAATTAATTAAGAATGTAGTTCATTAATCTTTTAGTTCTCTCTCTTTTTCTCCATAAAGTTTAGTTTGCGAAAAGCTCGTCTTTTTTAATCGCTTATAACTCGGTCATTATTGATGCCTCGACATTTTTGCTAAGAAAAAAATCATCTCCAAATGATCTTAAGAATCTGTCATTAGTAGATGCGGTGTGCTATTTCTGGGATATCCTGTATATATTAATTCACGATTTAGTCGCTAATGAGAAATATGTTTTTAATGCAAGTTTAATCCATGATTTAGCGTAGTAATGTAGTGTTATTTTATTACTAGACTTTTTTATAAACAGTAAAGGAAATTTTTTTTTTTAGAAATATAAGCATACAAGGTTATTAATAGACAAATTTAAATATACATACATATAGGGAATACATATATATGTCTGGATATGCCTATAAATCTATGTGTTAAAACATTAAGGACTTTGTGTGCACGTTATTATTTAAAAGTAATAATTGCGCGCAACATTTGTTACTTTGAGAATCTCATTTCTACATTTCTTCAATATATAAACTGGATTTTTATATAACCATAGTAATGGTATAGCGAAGATAAAGTAAAGTATGACGAAATTTTATTAATAAAAACTTATATGTCCTAAATATAATTTCTTTGCCGAGACAATATTATGTAATAAATTTTCTGAAAAAAAAATTGTTTGTATAGCTGGAAATGCACTTGTCTACACTGTGATATCTGGTTTAAAATTTAAAAAATAAAACGTTATGTCAAATATACGTGTTTAATCTGAAAATTAAAATTTATTGAAGTATTTCACAAAATTCTTGCGATTTATTTAGAATGAAAATAATTTGTTAGACATTTTGTTAGACACACACAATTTGTCAAACATACATACACAATAAAAAAATTTTTCAATATAAAATCTTGATAATACTTGATAAAAACTAGATTAGACAATTATTGATACATGTACAAATATTTATATTGCTAATGCGATTATTTCGATAAAACGATTATATATAGAAACTGTTTTTGTAATTTTGCTATCTGTCTACAATCGTAAGATAAATATCAAACTAATATACATTATACATATATATGTGCGCGCGTAGAAAATATTTTTTTAAATACTTAATTTCTTTCTTAGTTAATTTCTTTCATTCGCGTATAAATTTTAAACTCTCTTTATAAATTAAATCTATAAATTTTAAATTTTGTCATATTTATTAGCGATTTTATTTTTGTATTCAGATGTGATTCTCAAATAATTAAAAAATTATTTAAAGTATTTCTCGATATATTATATCATATTTTAAAACACACACATAGATATTTACATACATTTTGTATATTAAAAGATGCATAATAGACATACTATATACATATATATATACAATAGTGCAAACTCTCTCTGTAGGCATCTTTGTTGTTAGCATGGTAGAAATAAACTGTACATGTGCGAACGAGGTATGTAACCAATCATGACAGTGATCTTTTGTCTTATTTACTCTCCCTTTCATAATTTTTACAGGTCAGCAAAACAGGTTTTCGCAAAATGTTATACGAAAAATCAAAATATATCTTGCAGTAAGTGATTCATCTTGACTTGAGCGTAAAAATGTTAAGAGTTTCTTTTATATTTTGTGGGATGCTACTCAAAACTCTGAATAAAAAGCCGGAAATACGAAAAAATCTAATATCCTTCCCAATACTTGATAGGACGAAAAATTGTGATTTTCCTATTTCATATGCGTTATATTATACGCGCGCGATAATTTAAAATGAATCATGAACTTCTGTTTCCGGTATCTGTTTCGAGTATAACGATTGCGATAAACGGTTGCGGTAATGTGATATTAGAAAGATATGTTTGGTGGAGAAGATGCATGAGTGTGAGAGAATATATATATATATATTAAAGAAGAAAGGTATAAGATAGTGTGAGAGGGGCGGAGGGGGGAATTCATTTGGACACAGTGCGATTGGACACAACCATTCATATCGACCGGTCCCAAGATAGGGTTACCAACAGGGACTGCGTTCTGATATTCACTGTCAGTATTGAAAATCTATAGTTTACGTCACGTGCACTCTAGATTTTCAGTACTAGCAGTGAATATCGGAACGCATCCACGATTGACCAATCAAAGGGCTTCATTTTCAATTAGCCAATAAGCATTGTGTCCAATTGATATACACCCGTGTGAGTGTGGGGAGAAAAGGAGGGAATTAGGGAAGATGGAAAG